TGGGTCATTTAATATCTAACTATTGTCAAGTACCAAGAAATAATTAAAAATAAAAAATTATATAATTTTTGATAAAATTGCGTGATCTTTTTCATTAAATGGATGAAAAATTAATATTATTTTAAGATATCTGAAATTTTATCGCAATTTTATCCAAAATTACATAATTTTTTACTTTTAATTATTTTTTGGTACTTAACAATAGTTAGATATTAAATGACAAATCAGACTTTCAATGAAATTATGTAATGATAAATTATCTGATTTTACTTAAAGACAATTAGGATTTCATTCGATTAGCAAACAATGCCTGATAATGTATATGCGCATATGAATTAAAGTCCCTTTTTTTCATACGAGTAATAAACAAAATATGACATATTAATCTTATGACATTTGACGATGAATTATGACAATGACGATGACGATGATGTAATAAAATAAATAACAGCACCAATGTAGTTCCTTTTTGTTACAAATATGAGCTGCATATACACAGTAATATCAGGACAGTAACATAATGTAAGATGAGAGTAACAAAGTTATGCTACATTTATATAGATATGATGTTAACAAATGTTATGTAACATGTTAGCTCCATGTTACATAACTGTTAAGTTACTGCATTATAACAAATGTCATGTAACTAGTTAGCTCTATGTTACGTAACTCTTAGGTTATTACATTGTAACAAACGTTATGTTATTTGTTAGTTTTAAGTTACGTAACTGTTAGGTTTGGTTTTAAGTGGGAAGTTAATAAATTTTCTTCAAAAAACCAAATTTTGAAAGTGTCAGAATAATTCCTAGGTGCTCTCGAGTCAGGTGTCACGTAACTCTTAGGTTATTACATTGTAACAAACGTTATGTTATTTGTTAGTTTTAAGTTACGTAACTGTTAGTTTTGGTGTTCAGTGGGAAGTTAATTAATTTTCTCTAAAAAACCAAATTTTCAAAGTGTCAGGATAATTCCTAGGTGCTCCCGAGTCAGGTGTCAAAGTTTCAGACGTTTCGGTCTAGTACCCATAAAAAAAGAGTTTTATTCGAATCGACTGATTTGGGGGGGGGGGGTCACTTCACCTTGAGAGTGTAACCGAAGGCAAGCCGAGCGAACCGACTGGGGAAACAGCCCCCGGGGGTCGTGGGGGGGTCTTTCACCAGAAACGTTTCCTTCGCCACTTAATTATGTCTTAAAGTCGAGCCGCTCAAATAATTAAAGCGACGGACATCATTAAGCAAGTATAAAATGAGGGAGAAGTGTGTGGAAAGTGCAAGATGCAAATTAAAATGTATTTTCTCGCTTTGAACTCGCCGAGAGCGAGCGAGAGGGAGGGACGCCGCGAGAGAGAAGGAGAGAGTGCGTTCGTAAACGCAATTCTTCCGGAAGAGGGCGCGTTTCCAACGATTTGTTGTTTTGTCCAATTAGAACACGGTAACACCTTCCGACTGGTGGAAATGCGTCGCCATTCGTACACAGAGAAAAAAAATTCCTATGCAAATTTACACGCTGGATCATTGGTTATTTTGATGCCACTATTAATAACAATCAAATTACATTATCTGGGTAATGTCATATTCAGTGTCTGAATTTACCCAAACAATGTATTGTAGGCGTGCATTTGACATGTAAACATAAAGGGTAATATTATGTGTAAAATTGGTCTACATTATATGTGCAAATGTGAGGGGTGATCTTCCGATCGGTGATAATATTGATGTCATCATATGTTAACCCAGACGTAAACTTATTAACCCTTTTAGTGTCGGGCGAAAAAGAGGTGCTTATGCGAAGATAACCGGCCAAATTTTACGATTTTACTAGGATTTGGAAAAAGGCTCATAAAAACCAAACGAAAAGCAATATTTACATAATTCAAAAAGCAGGATATTAAGGACAAAATAGAGAATAAAACGGTGACGCTAATTTTTCTATATTCATTGAAAATTACATAAATAACAAAGGTATATGTGACGAAAGAAAAAAGAAAAATTGAGTTCTCTGTTTCAAAACGTAATTGCACATAGGAAAAGTCATCTTTTTATCATAAATTTATATAGACCGTTTATGGCAAAGTATATACTTAAAATTTTCAATATATTTTTTGACAAAATAAGTAATATTGCACAAAAAACATAAAAACTAACTCCAAGGCACATGGTAGGCGCCGGACGGATTATATCATCCGAAACAAGTAATTGTTATAGGTTATAGGTTGTTACAGGTAGGTTATAGGTTGTTATAGGTGTTGTTGTATCGTTATTTTAATTCTCTCGTAATGAAATTAGACTATTTATAACGTATTATAAATTTATTTTGAGATAGAGATCTCTCGCAAAGCGAATAGTAAAGCGCTACAAGGTACGGGCCGATATATCGGCTCTGGCACTTTTCGCCAGGGCAGCGAGGGCCGATATATCGGCCTCCGCCACTAAAAGGGTTAAAACATATTCTACATGAAAAACATAACCATAATTGTAAGACACTTTCCTGGGTAGTGAAGGAAATAATCACAATAGGCAAAATGATCGGAGGTCCATTGGCAGCCTTAATTCAGGGATCACGGGCGAGAAGACGTGAGTATTGTTTAGAAGACGTGATCATTGCCTAAACAACTGATACAGCTAAACCAAGACTGTCCCTAGGAACAGTAGACAGAAAGGACTTTCAAGTCTTGCACCACAGAGCGTTTATTACGTATTTTTGACGAGACGCTCACTTCTCGCACTTTCATCTCACGTGGGTTTATTCGCCGAATTACGTATTCGCTATATGAAAGAACGAGATCACTAGCACTTCCGGTCTAGTAATATTGCAAATATAGGTATATACCTTGTAAAGCGAACATTGTTGAGAGGCGTGGGTTATAGGCAGGAAAGACGGGAAGATGTAAAGCCGTTAAAAGTAAAGAAGAGGACTCGAGTCTATTCATATTTTTCAAATATGTATTACATTCATATTTACATGTACTATAATTAGAAGTTCAACAATATAATTTTCTTATCATGTCATGAAAGCATAAATGATGTAACTGTTTTCAATAATTAATGATGTAAACCTCGCAATAACAAAAACTAACCTGTACATTCTAGTAAATCCTCTTTCTTCTAACGAAAATCAGTTTGAGGCATCTCGCAATTCCCTTCTTCTTGGAAGATGGCGTTCACGGTGCTTTTTTTTCTCTTTTCTTGTATGCTTCACCATTTCGCTTAAAAATTTGTGCCAAGCCAGTTCATATAAATGGTCTCGCATTTTCACCACCAAACACGTTCCGTAATACCGTGAGCTACTCATATTTCACATTTTCGCTCATTTTGCTTTACGTAATAGACCCCCAGAATCGAACAGTCGACTCTTATCTGGAATACTCTAGTTTTGAGGCATACTCGCATGTTTGTCTTATAAACTATGTAAATTACTCGGAGTGTTTTACTTACCCAACTCTGAAAATAGGGATCTTTGCGTGTCATTTCAATTTTACGACCGATAATCCCTGGAAGGTCCGACTCTTCGTATCGTCTATTTTCGCCGCCGGGCGGCGCTGCGTGTCCAGCAAATACGAGGCGTGCAGAACGCATATAGACATTATGCACATGTCGGAATATATACACATAAATGGGTAGCAAAGAGCTGAGGGGGTTTCCCACTTTAACAAAGCCCGAAATGTTGTCGAACCCATAAATCAGGCAGAGTTAAATCATGCTTTCAAGGTCCCTTTGAACCTAACCTAGCCTTTTATCGAGTCACAAAGCGAGGATTTTGTCGCGGTTTGTTGTTCCGGATCAAAGAAGCCGCTCTTTCGAATGTTCCGTGAAATTAAACGGTCGTATCAGCGATGATGGGATTGATTTGATGATGATTTGAATCTCCTACGTGCCCTGGAAAGCATCCCCTTTCTGAAGGGATTAAGCCGGTCGAGTTTAAATCCCTTTTAATGAAGAGTATTGTTGCGACTAATGATGGCTAAAACCAATTAAAGGGAATGATGCAGTCCTTAGTGTGTAGTTTTATAGTTATCTCATGATTTATTAATGCTGTTGTCAAATCAATTTTACTTAAGTGGAAATGAAACACGTCGAGGAACTTGATTGACGTCGGTAAAACATGTTTTTCTAAATACCTACGTTGCTGACGTTCGTTTTTATATTGACAGCTGTGTCGAATTATATTGGGTATTGTACTGAATGGCGTACTCCACCTGTCGTTTTCGTACAATAATTATAAAGAAATCGAAGTGAAACTCCAGAAATCCTCTAGATTCATGCTTTTGGGGCCCTAATTGACTGCAGAGGGACCCCCTGCGCCATCTATGAATTCCAGGTCAATTAAATTTTCACTCCGAGACCTCGTATTACCAACGTTTTGGCATAGATGCGCATACAACGCTTTTTTTGCCTTTATCCCGTTCAAATGCGAGTTTATCTATTACGAGAGTGTTCTAAATTGTCGTAAAATTGTCCTGACCCTTTCGATTCTCATATCAGAGCCTTCGATAATTGTATATTGATCGAAATATGAGAGCTCGTCTCCATTTTGGTTTTGGTCTGAGTTAAGTTAACAATTTTTTTTCAATAACCCAAATTTTGAGTGTCAGGATAATTCCTAGGTGTTAACGAGTCATATGTCAAAGTTCAAGACAATTCGATCCAATACTCTTAAAAAAAAGTGTCTTATTCTAATCGAGTGATTTGAGGGGAGTTTCACTTCACCTTAAATGGAAGAAAAGCCTGGATGTTTACAATTACGACTAATGGTGCCAATAGCACGTATTAACAATGAAAACGTATTATTGTCTCGATTACTATGCCCATAAATGATCTAGGGTATTTTACTAGACCAGTCCTGATAGTTTGGAAGCGATACGAACAGACCCATGGAGTTCCTCCCGTGCGTAGAATTCGAGCACACCCGACGCCATGTTGATCGAGAGTCGAATTCGATAATCGATAAAGGGAAGATGGCGGCGTCCTGGCGATTTCCCAAGAACCGCGTTGTGTTTTCCGTCCATACTTCTTCATCACTATCTCGTTCGTAAATTCCGCCGCCTGATAAATAATCGATCACTGGTCGCGCGCGCGTTGGACCCATTTCGAAGGCGAACCTAACCTCGAAATGGGCCGAAAACCGAGGCTGCGTTCTCGAGTCGACCACGGGGCCCAACAATGCCAACGCCACGTGCTCGGTGCACCGTTGAAAGGGCTTTTCCCTGCAGGTCGGGACTCGTTTGTCCGGCGGGAATACGTCCGGCCGTGGAGAGGTTTCCAAATAAGGAAAAAACGGGCGAAAGCATCGATTCGCGGAAAGCCTCTTAGGCCGAGACTCGGCTGACGCGGCCGAGCCCTTCTTTTGTGATTCTTTGAAAGGTACGTCCATGAGACCCCATCAAATTGCGTTATTTGATAACCCCCAACTTCCTTTTCAGCGGAAAGTTTCCAATATAAAGAGGATCATTGACTCCGCCGATAAAAAAAGAAAAATAAATAAACCTGTAGATGGTGATCCCGTTTCTTCGCTTTCTGCAGATTTACTTCAACAATTAGGAATTAATTAAGGTGTATTGCATTCTCTATTTCTTGGTCTAGAGGATCTAAACACATCAATGATAGCGTCGATCGAATTTCTTTTCCAGTATGCAGATTCCCCGATGAAAAACATTCACTTTTTGGACTTTCAAATCGCACCAGGTAGTATAATTCTGTTTAGCTTAGCTGTTAATTTAATTTCACGTAGACTTTCGTTGTATTCGTTCGATCGATAGGGATTCAAGGATGCGTTTGGCGGAGATGCGGGAGATCTGGAAAGATTCTTTGGATAAAGAGAGAGTAACTGTGGTTTTCAGGGGGATTATTCCTTGCCACGGGGAGAGCTTCTGTAAGCTCGGAGTAGAGTGTGCAGGGAATGCAGAGCCGGGAGGTGGTCGCGTCATTAAGAGTCGTTCGGGCCTCTTCGGACTGCTCCGTCGTGCATTGTCTATGGTCCTATATTTTTGGTATAATTTCCTAGAGCGGCGCACCCTCCCTGGTGAACCCCCAGGATTCTTGGTTCCACCCCTCCGACGCTCGACCCCCAATGGCTCGGCGTCGGTCCTTGCCAGGGAGCGGTGTTCAGTTCAGCCTTGGACGTTCCGTAGTACGGTATTGCAACTGCTCCATCCGATTCTGATACGACAATAAGACCCCGCTGCTCTTCGCCCTTGACTCAGGCTAAAGTTAAGATCACAATAGACATCGTTGAGGTCTCGTGTGTATTTAAACCCAAACTGTGGTGGTTCTCCGTCAAAATGGTACGTAGTCTTCTCGTTCCACCCTCTGCCCTGTTAACTCAGGTAAGAATCGACGGAGCAAGATGATTGCTTATGACAGCTATTCATTTCATATTTTCTGCCCCTTCTTTGGGATCAAATTTCCCATCTCATTCTTTCCCTGTGAAAGAAATCAGTCATGGTACTTTTCCTCTCAAGGGTAATATAATTCAAGTATAGAATTATTTTCTATAATTTTCATGTTATTTCAATTCAGCAGTGGCATTCGGTTTGTTGAAATTATCATTCAACTTCAATCCAGTTTCTTGGATTCTTCAAAGTAAAGTTGTTTGCTTCTATTATTAAATTGAACGTATGAGGTGTTCAATAATGCAACCATGTTTTTAATCAATTCTGATTGAAAGAACCTAGCCCTAACCATTCTAACCTAAATAGATTCTCTTTAGCTTCTTTTCTTAATAACATTACACTGTTTTATTATTCACATCTTCAGCTCTTGTAATTAATTTTTATGACATTCTATTTATTATACTTTGAAATAAATTCCTATGTTTTAATAATTTTGTTAACTAGTCTGGTAGATTTCATTAACTCAGTGAATCTCTTTGTGACAAAGTTTTTCATTCATAATGAATGAGTTTTACAGAATGCGTTAAACAGTGAATTTCATGTGTGAAAAGGTATTCTAGTTTTAATTATCAGTATGGTAAAATGACTTTCACACACTAAGCGATATTTAATTGAATTTTATGTGCAACGTTCTCTTCAGTGTAACCATTAAAAGAGCAAGTGTTTGCGCCTGAAAATGGCTGGCACACCCTGACAGGCATAAAACTTAACGTGCTCCTTATGAAATCATATTTCTATAGGTCCTCGTAACAAAGGCCGATCCTTGGAAGGGATAATGGTGTTTTTTCAGGCTTCGGGGTGAAACCTAACTACCCCGAAACTCTATTAATACATATTTTCCAGATGCCTAGCCCGATTCCCTTCGGTCTGAAAAGGGCCCGGATTGAATAGATAGCGTCATAATTTTTGACGATCAATACCATACAAAGACTCGATGCGCAGACCAATAGGGATCCATCATAGAGGCGTCTCTCGATGCGCACTCCACCACCGGTTGGTCCATACATCTCCGATCGGACTCCACCCTCAGGATTCTCCTCGATTCGAAAAGCCTCCTCGGAGCCTTGATTGGCGCATGAGTCACTGGTCTGGCTCGATCGATCCAGCATCCTGGCCCCCGGTGCTTTCTTTGTTTGCTGTGGATTGAGTCCCAATCCTTCCAACTTCGGTGCCCTGGCTCGACGAAATCAATAGCACTCAATCGGAGTGTAGGTTGGGCGGTGCTCTGCGCTAGCTTTCGACTCCGTTCCCAATTTCCTGTGAATGCTTCGATGCTGAGTCTAATGGGATTTATATCAGATCGTGGGGATTTAACAGCAGATTGATTATGTATAATACTCAGTGATTATTTCATTTGAGATTTTTAGCTATATTTCATATTTTTTCAGTTTTTATAAGATATCTTAGGAGCTCTTAATTCCTTTTTGCAGCATATAACTGCAAAATTGTGGCAACTAGACATTGGGAGGATTGTTTATGTTATGGCCATGTGCTGATGCTAGTTTAGGTTAGAAAAGCTCAACAAGTGAGCTGTTTCTGTTATTTACACGTTCTTCCTTCACTTTGCTAATATTACTTTCTTTCATTTATTATTTTACAAACATTTTTGTTCTCGGGAATGTATATATTTGTTGTCCATGCCTCAGAAAGGAGAAATTTTGTAATTATTATAAACAGTGGACAAGAAGTGTGACTTCCAAGGTGAACCTAACCTTACTTTTACCTCTATTCTACATAATCTTCCGTGTTAAGCAATTTATGTTTGAAAATTGTGCAAAGAGAAATCATAAGAACGTCAGTTTATCTTTAACATCTCACGTAAAAGTACAGTGATCTCAAAAGTCGCATATTTAATAGTAATTTCTTGCTAACCTAATTCTTTTGTTTCTTTACAATTTTGTTTCAGTACCAATGTTTATTATCGTTTATATGGATTTGTAGCTTTTATGTGCAAATTACTCAAAAGCTACTTGTGATTATAAGTAGAATCTTCTGAAACTTGGTTAAATATTTGCACTGAAAAATTTAAATTAGGTTAGGTTTACGGGCTCGTGCAGAAGTTACTAACTCCTTTGTTTACGGAGTATCAGTTCAGCTTTCTTTCAACATGTTCAAGTCAAAGGACACGAACACATTTATTATCAGTTTAATCTATTTTAAGGCATCCTTTTATTGTCATTCATTTTTTCATTAGCGACGTATGAGTACCTATCATCTTCTTATTTTAAAAAATTCTAGTTTCCTGTATAAAGCAAAGCCATATTGCATTAAGAAAATGTTTTATGATGAATGTTTTATGAAATTGGCAATAAAATCATCTTACGTTTGGAAAAAGTGGTTCGCTAAAGAAAACTAAAACATGTGCGATAATTTAGTACTTGAATTCAATATAGACAAATTCTTTCGTTCATTTTTATCCTGTTAAGTGATTTAAATATTAAATTACATACTGATAAGTAAATCTTTGAAGAAATATTGGCAAGACTAACTTAGGTACTTAATGAAATAATATAAGTATAGACAAATTAATACGATATAAGTAGAAATAAAGAAGTAAATGTTACGACAGTGGTATAGTTCAATATACAAAATTCACAAGTGTAAGAATTATTCAAGTTGATCGATATCGATGGTAACAGTTTTATGTTCATTTTCAGGTTTGGACTAGCCATGTCCAGTAGGAGGCGCCGAGGATTGAAATTCAGCGTATACGGGAAAGTAGCACGAGAGAGTCGTGATAGATAGGATGAGTGGGCCTCGCCAGAGCGAAGCTCGGTGCTTCAACGAGAACTCTCCGAGGCCACCAGTGCCTGGTAAGAAAATGTCCAAATTCTCAATTTAATAGGCTGAATATCCTAAAAAGACAAATTATAAATACTTAAAACACGTCATGAGTCTGCAGATATGTGGCTTAATCATGTGCACAATCATAACAATATAAAAAGGAACTGCATATTTATTCCCATAATTATGAAGAGAATATTCTAACGAGACATATAAATCATAAATACTTAAATACACATCATGGGATCTATAGAAAATGTTGTCTTTCTCATGTGGACACTTAGTGATATAAAAAAATAGAACTACATACTTATGCTCGTAATTGTGAAAGTGGTATAAATGAGGAATCTAAAGAAGTGTGTATTTTGTGTTGCATACATTTAAATTACAAGAACATGAAGTTAATTTTTCAATAAAAAATATGACCGACCACTTTTATAATTACGGGCACATTTAGCATTTCACTGTAATGAAAAAGAGTTGTAAACTTAGAATGACAAAGTGAATTTAAAGGGTCATTGTACTTTAACGGCTGAAAAATTGAGCTAGTTTGAAAGACTTTAATTTCAGTAAGTGCGTCATATAATAAAGTAAATATTTTCGATGTTTATTAAACTACTCTTCCATAGTAAAAAAACAGGATTAATAATAATTTAAGAAAGAATTTGTCACGTTTTTCAAAATATCAATGTGGTGTCTCAAAAAATATGTGTATCGATGGCGCAAGTGATTTCTCCACTCGAGCTTATCTAAAACAAAAGATTCTCAATCTGTACGAGTATCCCGAACTTCAACTAGTAATTTTGATTAAAAAATAACAGAATGGTGCCATTTTCAACAAAAACTTGGAAAAAATACATCCATTTTCAATTATTTTGTATTAATTTTCCCCCGTAATGTCACAAAGTTTCAGCATAATGTCATCAAATAATAAGTTCATTTAGAAATTTATAATAACCGTGTACTAATTCACTTTTAGGATATTATATGTACAATTCTACTGCAACCTTATGTACTAAAAGCGCATGAATTTTATGAATATTTCTAACAGTGTATCCAATATATGTAAGTGTATATTTGGCGCGAAACTCTACCGAGTTTCCTAATTTGGTGATCAGTTTCATGAACGATTGACCCTTCCGATACCAATTTCACATCCCCTTAAGATGATATGAAAGGCGCTGAGAAATTTTAGTCATTTTAAACACTCAAATGGAAACATAAGCTGGCGCGTTCCATTATCGACATTTATATCTATGTTGAAGTCTTTTACAGTCCACGTTGAGAATTATATGAACTGAAGCGTTCCATATATCATTTCAGAAAAGTACTGATGAAGAGATCGATGTAAAACTGTCGAAATCCCGTAAATTCATTATTCTAACGACTGTTTAGGACCAACGTCGCCATCTGTGACATTTAGCGGTAACTAAATTTTGCTCCAAAAACACGCGTTCGCCCCGAGACGAGCCAGCATTCTCTTGCAATCGTTCTTGAAAGTATTTACCATATTTTCCCATCTGACTTCGTAATATTCCATTTCTAGGGTATTCTAAATTGTTCGAGCTAGGTCCTGAAACTCTTCATTTTTTATTCTAAGCCTCCAAGAAGCGTAAAACCTCGAAAACGTTGCACAGACCACGCCATGTTTTTTCTAGTCCATGATAAGTAAATAAATTTTGGATGAAAAATGAAATTTTGAGTTTCAGGACCTACTTTAGCGCCTCCATATTCACGTGGTAAAATTTGAAACGAATCGGTACACCCAATTCGTGGAATACTTTCATCAACTATTTGGCCTCATATATATATATATATATAGACTCTTTCATATCACCTTAAGTCAAACGATTTAAATTAGATGAACCCTGATCGGTGATTAACTTTTCCCTTTTTGTAGGAGAGGAGACCGGAGGATACGTCACCAGGTTTCGACCGCAGAGCCCCGCTCTGACACCGAGGCGCTCGTCGTTGGCCACTGCGACAGCCTCTGGCTACTGCGATGCCTCCGCTCCATTGGGATTCGAGCCGGAAGGTTGTTGCGGAACCACCACCATGGAGAGCGACTCTCCTCCGGCTTGCCTGCGTTGGGCCCGGAACCTCCATACCCTTCTGCAGGACCCGGAGGGCCTTGAGCTCTTCAGGAAGTACCTTGACCAGGAAGGGAAACCGCACGCGAACCCCCTCAATTTCTGGTTCGCCTGCGAAGGACTCAAGGAGCAGAAGGATCCCGATAGGATATACCAGCTGATCAAGCTTATTTATAGAAGGTGTGCCATGGCTTTAGACATCTTATTTAAGGTGAAGTCAAACACGCCGGGGAACTTGATCGACGTCGATGAAGAAGATTTTTCTAAATACCTACGTTGCCGACGTTCGTTTTTATATTGACAGCTGTGTCGAATTATATTGGGCATTGGACCAAATGGCATATTCCACCTGTCGTTTTCGTATAATAATTATAAAGAAATCTAAGTAAAAGTCCAGAAATCCTCTGGATTCATGCTTTCTGGGGCCCTAATTGACTGCAGAGGGACACCCTGCGCCATCTGTGGTTCCCAGGTCAATTAAATTTTCACTCCGAGACCTCGTATTACCATCGTTTTGGCATAGAAGCGCATAAGACACTTGTTTTGCCTTTATCCCGTTCAAATGCGAGTTTATTAATTACCAGAGTGTTCTAAATTATCGTAAAATTGTCTTGGCCCTTTCGTTTTTCTTACCACAGCCTTTTCGACGTGTTTCACTTCACCTTAAATATTGTAACTTACCATTATTTTTTTACAGACGGATAAAAGAGCATTTAACTTAAACACGTATATTTCAGTGTTAAATGCTGGAGTAACATGTGCGGCGTTATTAAAATAGCCTTTACATAAGTTAACATGCTTTGAAAGTGATTTTAAAGCTTTTTGGTAATTATAAGTAGACTCATGTGAGTCTTTGTAATACTTTTTTTTTTTAATTCGTACAACGAAATTTGTTAGATTCAAAGTTTAATGTATTTTTTCATCTCAAAATGTATAACGTATTAGTTCAATGTTTACAGGAAATTGTATAGAATTACAGAGTTTCAGAGTTAGTTAGAATTTTTACTCGTTTAAAAGGAAAATGCAATTAAAGTGTAGCGTCAATTCAGAATTGAAAATATTTATAACAAGGAACCGGTATTTAACAGCTGTTTTCACGGTATAAAAAATTTGTTAATCCTACAATAAGGTAGTAAATTTCGGTTTCTGTTGCAAATAAAGTACAGCAACAAAGAATTCAAGATTTGTTAAAGTACAAACAGATGCTATTTAACGGTCTCTTTTTCACATATTGACAAATTCGTCGAATCGATATTAATGTAATAAATTTAGGTTTCCAATGGAATTAAAATTCAGTAAAAACTTATAACTGCACCTGCAGATTTTCCTAACTACGAACAGATATTGTTTAACAGATTTTTTTCACGTGGAAAAGTTTGTAACTTATGTTGTGATAATGGATTTAGGTATCTAATTGAATTCGTTTGGTTGTAGGTTTTTTCTCAAGTCGCAGCTAGCGATACCAGAAGATGTGAGGAAAGAGGCGAACCGTAGAATAAAGGAAGGTCGAGCTGATGGAAAGGTCTTCGATGCAGTGCAGCTGGAGGTCGAAAGGCTTATCAACGAGACAACTTATCCTAACTTTCTGCGGTCTGACATGTACCTGCAGTACGTGCAGGCTTATCAGAACCCAGACTCCGGAGGTTGTCCAAGTTCGAGTTCCAGCAGGGAGATGTCTCTCTCCTGTGGACCCAGCCTCCTGCCTACGGTGCACGAAGATAGTGAATTTGTCAGCTCGGTGCATAGCTCTCACTCTGCCAGCGAAACACCTGGTGAGCTGCGAGGCGAATTGAGACTGACAAGAGATGTCTTGATAGCCACGCAGCAAACCAGGGCAATGGAGTTAAGACCCAAGCCGGAAGCTTACGCTGGGTAAGAGGAGACCTTTGATCTCTTTGTTTGCATTGCTCTTTGGCGAAATATTGACTCCCTTTAGTACAGTAAACTCCCGTATAACGCTGGTTCTTACAACACACTAGATCTATAATAACTCTAAAGATCCCAGATGCAAATTCATTATGTGATGAGGAAAATCAAATTCAAACAATCTGCAGACCATTTGCTGTCCGTGAAATGTTTGTAATGTATGGACACATCTGCACAATAATTCTTACAACGCACTAGATCTTAAATAACTCTAAAGATCCCAGATGCAATTATAGATGCATATATAGTCAAAGCTGTAAACCAGCCGTTGAATTCAATTAGTTGAAGCGACTTGAAAGTAGCCATGCAAGTCAGCGCCACCCTTATTTGACCGACGTATTAAAAGAACATATCGTATAAAAGTTATAACAAAAACTGTACATACGTAATATTTCAACTAGTGAACATGTTTGCATGTACTTCTGCTCAAAATCAGCCACTGAAGTTGAAGCAAAACTATCGGCAGTGTTAAAAAATGCGAATGGGTAATTTATTTTATTTTCTCAACTTGTGTAATGTTGCGTTTCCTTTATTCCTGCTTAACTCTTCACAGAATATACGTTTACCTATTTTTTACATTATAAAAGATAATCTCACGCATAAATACTGAACACTTTTATATTGTTTAACGTAGTATATATTTGTATATCTCGTGACAGCTTTACCAATTTAGAAAATTACATTTAAAAGAAATTAAAAAACAAAGAAAGTACATCGGTCTAACGATGGTGGCGCCTAATATGAAGCCAAGATCAAATCGCTTCATAGATTTCACGGTTTCTTGTATTCATAGTATACATATCAATATTCTATACGTTATTTATATTATTCATTATGCGAGGAAAATTCTCGTATAACACGATTTTCTTCAATGCTATTTCATACGCGTAATTTATTAACCACTGTTACATGGGAGTCTACTGTACATTGATTCAGTTTTGTTTTAAATTGCTTTGATTGGTGTACAATATAGCTTGTTTGATAAAAGAGGATGAAAGGAGTAAGATTTCTTTGATTTATGAGGACTTGCAATCGTTTGCGCCCTCTTGCCACAGTAAAGTAAACTAAATTTCACCTTGATTGTAATTCTACTGCAATGAATTCCTGCTTGATGTTTTATTATATTCACATTTATAAGTCTTAAGTGGTCGGAGTATTTTGGCATTGTTAAACTAATCCTTACACGAGTTGATGAATTTTTAAAAATTATTTCGAAACTTCTTGTAAATTGTTAGTCGATTCGTTTCTGCAAAACGTTTGGTTTTCTAATTTGCAAAACGGTAAAAACGGTAATGTTGACTTCAAAGTTTTGTGAAACATTTAAAGGATATTTTGCGAAAACCGAGTATGCAATATCACAAGGAAATTGGTACGTTTTATGTGACTAAAGTTATTCAAATGTTTAGTTTCATTTTTAAACTTTCCACGATTAATGTTACTTATTGGAAACAAAACTCAGGGTAGTGTTAACATTTAAAATTCAAATTCTCCACGACTTGCGCAATAATTCTACCATATATATTTCTCGTATTCAATATCACATCGATCTGTCATATTTAATGAATATACTTCCAAGAAATCCTTTTAATAAGAGAAACTCCAATTTCACACATTTTGTATATCGTCATCAAGGTTTCGCAAATTATATAAGTGGTATAAGTCAGTGCGAATAAGCTTAGCATGAATATTACTGTTTAATCCCTGCTCAGATTTCTTTCTTTTTATTTGTTTTTGTTTTTATTTCCCTGTTTTGACATATGCTTGTACCACATCCAATTAATTTCAGAAACTTGTGAACTTGCCCTCCTTTCACCTCTGGTATTATTTTTCATCTTGCAAAGAATGCCCCCCCCCTGCTGCAAATTGTTACGTTAGTTTGAAGACGATTAATCTTTAATATGCAATCTCACTGATTTATTGTATATACTTACTGGATAGCTGATATCCTACAAAATGGCGTGACGTTTTGAAGCGACCAAAGCCCTCTGACGACGGGCTCACGAACTAATATTGTAGCATTTGCGCATGCGTCAAAACAACGCGTCATTCAACCGTAGATAATATAAGAGGCGTCAAATTAATTTACTGGCAAAGAATAATCACCACTTTTATGAAAATACTTACGAGAAGAAAGGATAACCATTTTGTTTTAGTAGAAGCTTTCTTGTAATATGCAATACGCACCGTTTTAACTTAAATTATGTCTCTTCTGTCGTTTACACCTTAAACGTTTGCCTTTGTGAACTGACAATTCAACGTTTATCCTTGCCGTGATTAATAGATTGACGGTTAGAAATTTTTGCGCATGCGCACCCGTTACTTATTTAGTACCGCTGCCCATATGTAGTTGGCGCTGGGGTGCCTTCAATTCGTCTAAGTCCTCTCCGTATAGAACAAATAGGTATCAGCCACGAAGTAGTATAAGGAGATCTAATGCCATGTATTGAAATCGTCCCTACTCTAGGGGTCCAAGATGTTCAGATTTCTTTCTGATCCAGTGCCGAGAGTGCCTCCTCGATGAAATTTTGCAATTAAGAATTATCATCTGCTAGCGTGTCTGCTAGTATTTATAACGTTAAAATCATCACAATCTGTATATCATCAGCGGATTATCGTTTCACTTTGAGTATCTTAATTGCAAAATAAAAGCATTTTACGTAATTTACGTCGCTAGGAAATGTTTTGGTCATGTAGGAGTTCCTACATCTTCCGCAAGTAGCGCTCGTGTCGCTAGATCAGAAAAAAATCTGAAATCATGGGTCCCGATTCTGAAGCTACTTTCTGTGGAACAGACCATAGGCGTTTGTCTCCTTATACTACTTCATGGTATCAGCTGTCCAGTTAATATGTAGATCAGTGTGTAATCCCCATTATCTCTTCGGTTGTTTTCGCATTTTCGTGTTTATAATTTGTTTTCTCCTTTGTTTCGCTTTGGCGTGTTGCGTGGCGTGTTACGTAGCATTTACTTGCAACCCGGAGCTAGTCCCTATCATGCACCGGTATCCAGATTGCACGCCCAATATTCCTCGTACAACCCAGTCTCCAGGCAGGACTCGGAGCTCCAGAGCTTGAGCAGCGATGCACGCACCGAATCGGATAATATGTCCCTCACCGACTCCTCGGTGTAAGTAGACTGCTCAGTAAATTACAGTAAGAACCTCAGAGGGCGCCACGAGGTATCGAAATCAGGATTGAGCTGACTTAAGGTGAAGTTAAACACGGAGACGAACTTGATCGACGTTGGGTAAAGAAGATTTATCTAAATAGCTACGTCGCCGACGTTCGTTTTTATATCGACAGCTGTGTCGAATTATATTGGGTATTGTACTAAATGGCGTACTCCACCTGTCGTTTACGTACAATAGTTGTAATGAAATCCAAGTAAAACTCCAGAAATCCTCTGGATTCATGCTTTCCGAGGCCCTAATTGACTGCAGAGCGACCCCCTGCGCCATCTGTGATTTCTGTGTCCACTGAATTTATGCATCTATGAGTACCCAAGAACGTAACGCCAATATGCAATCAGTAATCACTTAGTTAGCAATTCATTGTTAGTCAGTAGTCAGTCACTTGGTCAGGAGGTAACTAAACTTCAGCATGTAATCAGTAGAGTAGTATCAATGAGTACTCTAGAACGTAACTAATATGCAATCAGTAATCAGTCAGGCAGTCAACGTAACCTCACTTTGTGGCCGGTAGTCAGTAAGTCAGCAAGCAAAGAATTTAGAAGTCCCATAGAATCCCAGATCCTATGTTAGCGCTTGATGCTCTAATAGTTTGCTAACAAACCAGAAGTGGGGGTAAAAGAGAGATCGCATGTGTTAGTCAACGATATCTCACATACGGGAGGAAGAGAGACGCGTATAGAAAGGCGAGTATTGTGTGTAAGATGAAGAAAGAATACAATTCGCTATATATCGCCATAAGATTAAGAGAGATGGAGAGACGATTACAGCGCCGCCATCTGTTGGCTAACATACTATTTATCGAGTATCGAACGTCCGTAACCTTCTGGCCTTCTATGAAGACTTCTGAATTCTTTGCAGCAAGTCACTCGGTACCGTAAATAAAGTCAATAAAGTCCGTAAAACGAGGTGTCGGCAAACGGGATGCCAAATGGAATGATCTAACCTTTTCGAACCTAAGATAAGATCTCGGAATTGGAGCAACCCGATCTTTTCCCTTCGTGTTCTAATCCAACGTCTGGTTTTCAGGGACGGGATGTCGATAGGCAGGCAGCGCAGCAAGAAGCAGTACATGCGGCAATGCCGGGCGATAAAAGAATCGGCGAGCCTGAACCGAGACCCGATGGCCCACCATACGGTGATACCCCGTACCCAGCGAGTCCCCCGCGACCTGACCCAACCCCTGGAGCCGAAGGCATTCGCCCAGGTGCTGATCGAGAAGCTGGAGAAGGTCCGGAAGGAACGAGAGTCCCAGGAGAAGCTGGACTGGCACCTGCAGGAGGGCGAGCTGGGCTCGGCGGAGGCCCCGACGGAGCTGCTGACTCTGGGGGCCCCGAAAGCCCTGGCCGACGCCCTCCGGGAGCAGCTGATGGTCGAGGACGACAGCGACCAGGCCATCCTGGACCAGCACGTCTCGCGCGTCTGGTCCGACCTGACCCCCTCGAGGTCCCCGGGCCTCGTCTCCCCGAGGCCCCACTCGCCCAATCGCAGGAGAGGTCTGTCGCATAACTATCCGCGACAATACAAGCCCAGGAAAGAGAAGGATGTATTCTCCACCTTCTCTGCAGACAGCGGTAACGTCCACGACTTCCCGGAGGGCAGCGACCTCGTCGGGGCTGGTTCCGTCAGCTCGCTGGGGTCGCACCTGCCCAAGTCGAAGTCCGTGCCCTCCGATTACGCGGACTCCCTGCACAAGCCGGATCTCTATCTTCAAGGTGAACTTCCTTGGGATATGCGATTGCGCGTCGGGTGGACCTAGAGGGGCGTATCTTCTTGAGGATGCTCCCTGAACGTCGAACCCTGTGGGTGCAAAAACGAGTCGACGTTCAGGGAGCATAGGGTTCCGCTAGATTCTTAACTTGCCGGTTCTTACAAGGAAACATTCCCAAGTGTCTGTCGTCGATCTTATTGATTTTCATATATGTTGAAGAACACAAAAATCTAAGCGATACGTGTTTTTTTATTATCTGCTATGGTTCATATTTAAGATGTGAAACCACCCTCTAAAGCTCGGCGAAAATTCGATTTTTATATTAATTTTTGGAAAAGCAGCGGAGGGATTTCGACGAAACTTGGCATAAACGTATTCTGTATGAGGACGGTGAAAACACAATATTGTCCAGGAATGCTACACCACCTCAAGGGGATGAAGTACCCTTCGGGCGAATTTTTTTTCTAATATCTATTGAACAAGTACTCCTACTTACGTTCCACATACGCCATGTGATTGTTCACGAAAAATGAGGAAATACGTGTTTTTTGCTTTTTGCCAATAAATATTTATACATCGGTTGAAAAGAATGGATGTAAGTGGTATATGGGTATATCCCGACTATCTTTATTGGGTTATATCGTGATCAATTCATTGTACATAAATCGTGTGAACGTGCTAATTCTTCAAAATGTCATTGGCTTTCATAACATGCAATTATTTATAAATTAATTAAAAAAAAAAAGTTTAAGAGACTGAAATTGTTTCGCAACAGATTCGATGACGATATAACTTAATAACGTTAGTCGGGATATACCCATATACCACCTACATCCATCGTTCTAAAGCGATGTATAAATGTTTATTGGCAAAAAGAAAAAAGCACGTATTTCCTCATTTTTCGTAAAATGTCAAAAAGCAAAAAACACGAACTTGAACTTTGAAGTGCATTGAAAAGAAGTGTTATTTTAACGAATATATCGAAAGTATAAATACAAAAAATAATGTTCTCGTAAATTCTCGATATTCTCGGTAACTTACGGTACGTTTTCCAGTTACCTTCTCCAATTTTATGGTATCGTGAATTGGTCGGAATATATACACTCTTTTACAGTCCGTGATCCCTACGTAGTGACGCCATTTTGTTTAAAAAAAAAAACGTTTTTTTTCCCTCCTTCAATAGTCGTACAGTGAATTGATGGACGATTAACGAAAGTACGTAACTCAAATTAGCTCCCCATTGATTATTTTATACTTACATTCGCGGAAGAGGTAAAAAATATATAAAACAAAAACACTAGGTAAAAGCGATGAACCTTTAACATGGCAAATGAACGGATCAAGATATTTGTATTGGTTGGGCCTTTAACTGTTAGAGAAGGTTAACGTGGTTGGAAATGTTGAGATTTACAATAATCGGAATGCTTGTTACTATTGCCCGTGAGTAAATCTAATTTCTGTTGAGCAGGTCACGACCAGAGATTCCGGAGGTCTGACATGACCCGGCGATCCGGCACGAAGAAGTCGATGACGGAGTTGACGGACAGCGGAGTAAGCGTCGTCAGCGATGCTCCACCCTTGTCTCTCAGCAAGGACAGCCGCCTATTGTCTTGGTTGAAGGAGTCGGACAAGAAGGACTCGAAACATGGCCGCCACGGCAAGAAGTATGGCTCGAGGAGCGGCTCTTTGGAGAGGGCCAACAGAGAAGCATGGGGCGTACCTGCACAGCCGTTCATCGCGGATCCTGGAATGCCACCTCTGCCGCAGCCCCATACCGTACGGATCCGTTTCATTGGAAATTTCATCGGTCCTTCTTCTCATGCTCATTGTTGCAAACGTTGCTGTTGGAATGATTATTTTGTTGCCTGTTTTTGATTTTTTCTTTTCTTGTAAAAGTTTTCTGCAGGCTTAACAAAAATGAGCTTTCTACTTTTTAACTCTTTCTTTTATTGCAAAATCATTATACTAAATTTTTATTAGTACCAGCAACGTTTGTAGCATTTGCGTTGGTACTAGATTAGAATTACTACTGCCTCGTACCGTATGGATCCGTTTCATTGGAAATTTCATCGGTCCTTCTTCTCATGCTCATTGTTGCAAACGTTGCTGTTGGAATGATTATTTTGTTGCCTGTTTTTGATTTTCTTTTTCTTGTAAAAGTTTTCTGCAGGCTTAACAAGAATGAGCTTCCTACTTTTTAACTCTTTCTTTTATTGCAAAATCATTACACTGAGTTTTTATAAGTACCAGCAACGTTTGTAGCATTTGCGTTAGAACTAGTCTACAATTACTACTGTTCACTGTTGCAAATGTTGCGGTTGGAATTATTATTCTCTGTTACCTGATTCTGATTTTTCCTCGTGGTTAAAGATTCCTCTTCCACTACAATGAATCATGCACACCAAATTTTTGTTCTTACCAACTTCTGTAGCGGCAACATTTATGAACGGCATCGTTTGTTCTTCTGTCTCATTTTTTTCATTACTCACGACCTGAACAGTGGGGTGAATATTAACGACGATTCGTTTGCAGGCAACGCAGCTAGAGGAAGCCCGCAGAAGGCTTATGGAAGAAGACAGAGCCCGAGGATGCACGAGACAGCGACATCCAGCATGTGGAAAGCCAACTTACGAACCAGCTGGCCAGAGCCAACCTTGCGTGCAGTCGAACCAATCGACCCTGAGGAAGACCAGACAGGATGCCGGAGACTTTACCACCGTCGTGTTCAGCTTCTGCGATGAGCAGTTCCCTTATAGGACCAAAATACCTGGACACAACGTCACCCTGAAGCAATTCAAAGAGTACCTCCCTAAGAAAGGCAGTTATCGGTAGGTTTGTCTCCGTCCATTTTTGTGTATTTCTTTTAAGGTGAAGTGAAACACGTCGCGGAACTTGATCGACGTTGGTAAAACAGGTTTTTCTGAATACCCTACGTGGTCGACGTTCGTATTCATATCGACAGCTGTGTCGACTCATATCGAGTGTCGTACTAAATGCCATACTCTATCTGTCGTTTACGAACTATAATTATAAAGAAATCGAAGTAAAGCTCCAGAAATCCTCTGGATTCGTGGTTCCTGAGGCCCTAATTGACTGCAGAAGGACCCCCTACGCCATCTGTGATTTCCGGGTCAACTAAATTTTCACTCCGAGACCTCGTATTACCATAGTTTTAGCGTAGAAGCGTATAAGACACTCTTTTTTACCTTTATCCTGTTCAAATGCGAGTTTCTCGATTACCAGAGTGTTCTAAATCGTCGTACAATTGTCCTGACACTTTCGTTTCTCATATTAGAGCCTTTAATAATTGGACATCGATCGACCCTTAAAAGAAAGTGTCTTATTCGAGTTGAACGATTAAGGGACGTTTCATTTCACCTTAAGGTGGTATGAAAGGGTCAGCCTATATATATCCGAGAGATCAAATCGTTCGTAAGAGCATTCATCGAATTGGGTGTACCGTTTCGTGTCAAATTTTACCACGTAAATATGGAAGCTCTAAGTTAGGTCCCAAAATTCATGAAGTTTAATTTTTTCTACGAAATTAATTTATTTATCATGTATTAAAACCATCATGGCGTGGTGTGCGCACGTCTTTGACACTTTTCGCTTTTTGACGGCTTAGAATTGAAATGAAAGAATTTCAGGACCTAGCTCGAACAATTTAGAATACTATAGAATTGGAATATTGCAGAGTCAGATAGGAAAATATGGAAAATACTGTCACGATTTATTTGTCATGTACTGGAACGAATATGGCGTGGTCTGCGCACGTCTTTGACGCTTACGCTTTTTGACGGCTTAGAATCGAAATTAAAGAATTTCAGGACCTAGCTCGAACAATTTAGAATACTATAGAAATGGAATATTGCAGAGTCAGATGGGAAAATATGGAAAATACTGTCACGAACTGGTTCCGTTAGTAACGCGTGATTTTAAAGGAAAAATTGAATTGCCGCTAGCGTCACAGATGGCGCCATTGGTCCCTTACAGTATGAAAAATCATTAACCCACGGGATTTCGATAGTTTTACTTCGATATCTTTATTATTTTTCTACCGAAATGGCATATGGGACGCTTTATTTCGTATAATTGTCAACATAGAGTGTAACAGACTTCAATATAAATATAAATGCCGGTAACCTGACGCGCCAGTTTATGTTACACTTGAGTATTCAAGATGGCGTTACCACCGAAAAGGGTATAGATGAATTTTACTTTACTGACGTCGATTAAATCTCTCAGTGTCTTTCATAAGATTGGCGATGCTAAGATTGATATTTTCTCACAGATTATTATAAGATCTTTGAAATGTAACCGAGGCTCTTTACGTATGCCTAAAAGATCCGTTTGTTGCAGATATTTCTTTAAAACTGAGTGCGAGGACTTGGACACGAAAGTCATCCAGGAGGAAATCACTGATGATGCCGAGATCCTGCCACTGTGGGAGGGAAAAGTAATGGCGCAGGTCAAGGCGTTAGAATAGAGGGAAATAATGTTACAGAGGGAGGAAGAAGGAAATGCGAAGTTGAGGTTTAACGTAGAACGTTTTCAACATTCTTCCTTTGCTATCCGGTGTGCCGATGCTCTACGTAGGATCTGTTATGGACAATCATGTTGCACAGAATGCGTTATACTCCGCGTACCAGACTTTTTTCTAAGTTAACTTACTTACCTCGTACACAGAGTATTTTATCAGAAAATTACAGAGAGTAATTATTATTTTATATCGTTAGCACGCAGTCTTCGGACTTCGATGAAGTCGCAAATACTTCCCTAAGCGTCAGGATGTGACCGGTGAAATATTTTGAGAATCTTTATATATATATATTTTTTTTCTTTCCAAACCACACATTGTTTCTTTGCAAAAGAAACATTACCCTTGTTCTTTTCAGTATGTTGGTTTCCATACTTTTAATTATGGACGAAATTACCGAGTTTTTTTAAAGAGTGAAATGTTAGTGCCATGACACTGCATGTCTTTTAATGCGCTTTTAGTTTATTTATAAGAGAAGGGGAATTATGCTGTTTAAGAGAATGAAGGATTTAATGGCAGAATCCAGTGCGCTCTGAATTGGGAATATTAATCTGGAGAATATTCTTATATGGATCGTTAAGTGAATCGGATTATTTCCTGTAAGAATGGTGGGCCTTTTTTCAACCGGACTTTTAGTGGAATTATTGATTATCTGAGACAAAAATCGCGTGTCTTCGTTTTAATCAAGAAACAATATGTAGACGCGTGCATTTTTCCTGGATCATTGAACAGATGAAATGATCCAATGTATAGTATAAAATTATAATGTTGCTAATATATGATAACAATTTTTTTTTATGAGAATTTAATCACGTTATGAATGTCTTTACACTTCAGTTGAGTAACATCTACATTGAACTTGAAAGAAGTATTTTATTTTTGTCCTTTTTTGAATACAATGCTTTTTTATTTGGTGGAACAAGAACTGATTTCACTGGAAAAAAAAAAAAAAAAAAGAGTTACGGGATAAAATACGAAGATCCTTCATTTTCATTCGCTTGTTTGTTTCCTTAAATAATTTCGTATGACAGTTTTGTTTCGCGCAAATCTGTGCGTTGATATACCAGAAACAATTCTACATAATTGATACAGTAACATTAATGACAAATTAACGTTTAAAACATTTATGAGTTAATCAAAGCAGTATTGTCGCACCATTTGCATTGTGCCCTTCCTTTTAATTTGGAGTTAAAGTTTCGTATTGTGTACAAGTTGACAAGTAGCGCCTTATATGTCAACACGTTACATTTGAACTATTTAATTGAAATAATTTCTCAGTGGGAAATGGGCTTTTATTTAATCATTTTACTGATGTATTTTGTGCTTCCTCTAAGACGAGTCGTCTGTACAGAATTGAGAGAAAAGTAGGAAATTTCTTCCACGTGCTCTTCCTTTTACATAAATTAAAAATGAAAGCCATATTTGCGTTGATGTAATACCGATGAGAAACTGTTATTTCTCCCCAAAGGCTGTAAGTCATTTTATTTGCTTAATTCCTGTTTCGTAATTTCTCTTTGATACAAAAAACGGCTTTTATGTGGAGTATTCGTAAGACACTTCCGAAACAAAGAAACGCGGATTATTCCTTTTCCCACGAGTGGGAATACATTCGTAAAAAAGATTCCTCAAGCGTCTTTCTGTAGAAAAAAAGAGAATCTGAGACAAGTTCTACAATTCCCGATGATAAGTTTTAGGTCTCGGAATGAAAAAGAACTTCCGAAAAGAAAGACGCGTTCTTCCTCTTTGCGTATTATGTATTTGCGTCGATTCTGTTAGAACGGTTTCTTTTCGAGAACGACATCTACGACATCTGTCGAAGGACACCGAATGCACAGGGTGTCCTTTTTAAGATTCCGTTTCTTAAACTTGAACGGCTTTTTTATTTTTTAACCATTTCGGATAATATTTTAAATATACTCTGTAAGGCTTGTTTTCCCAAAAAATTACACTTGGACATCATGTTACATCAATTTTAAGTAATACATGCGACAGTCAGGGTTAGAATTTCAGGAGAAATCAAATGAGTTCTGAAATATCTCGCTAGGGCCATTTTGAGGAAACCAAATGTTTTCAGATATGAAAACATGTTGAGATTTATTTTGCCTTTTGTTTGAAACCACTTGCATTTTGAATTTTCTGCCGAATGAACAAAAATGATCTGACTACCCGGCAGAAATGATGCCATTTATTTCTTTCTGGAGGAAAACATTATGACGTCAAAATGCTGTAATAAATCATTGACTGAAACAGATTGAAACACAGGAATTTTACCCTAGATTAAAAAACGATTCTTAAAAAGGACGCTGTGTATACTTTTTTGTTTGCGCACCCTTTTTGACCCTAGAGCAAACAATCTCGTTCTGCGTGGAGCATCGGTCGTACTTTTCTGCGAAAGAAAACGAATAACGATAAACACAATGTTCTTCCTGTTTTGTAAATCCGAGAGATACGCGATATTCGCGTAAATAGTGTACGTAAAACGGCCTCTCTCTGTGAGAGCACTGATCTATATATTAATTAGTACTAGTGGCAAAGAATTAATATGTTCCATGGAAGCCCAGATTCTAGATTAACGTTTGATGCTCTAAAAGCTGGCTAACAAACCAGAAGTGAGGTTATAAAAAATATGGCGGACATCCTGCATATGAGGGGAAGAGTGACGCGTATAGAAAAGCGGATATTGTAAGACGAAGAACGCATGTTATCCGCTGTATATCGCCGTAAGATCGAGAGAGATGGAGAATGATTACAGCGCCGCTATGTGTTGGCTAACGGACTAATTGTCGAACATCAAACGTGTGTACCGTTCTGACTTTTTACGGAGACTTTTGAATTCTTTGTCAGTACTATTAAAGAATTCAGAGGTCCTATAAAAGTTTAGATCCTATGTTAACGTATGATGCTCTAAAAGTTGGCTAACAATGCAGAAGTAAGGTTAAAAGAGTGATGGAAAAGAGAGTGAGGTTAAAAGTGAGATCCTGCATATGAGAGGAAGAGAGACGCGTATAGAAAAGCGGATATTGTAAGACAAAGAACGCATGTTATCCGCTGTATATCGCCGTAAGTTCAAGAGAGATGGAGAATTATTACAGCGCCGCGATCTGTAGGCTAACGAACTAATTGTCGAACATGAAACGCGTGTACCGTTCTGACTTTTTATGGAGACTTTTGAGTTCTTTGTTAGTACTATTAAAGAATTCAGGGGTTCCATAGAAATTCAGATCCTACGTTAGCGTTCGATGTTCTGAAAGTAGATTTATAAACTTGGAGTAAGGTTAGAAAAGAAATGGCACGTATTAGCCAACGACATCTCGCATGGAAAAGAGACGCGTATAGAAAAGCGAGTATTGTAAGACAAAGAACGCATCTAATTCGCCATATATCGCCATAAGATAGACAGGGAAATGATTACAGCGCCGCCATCTGTAGGTTAACGGACTAAATATCGAGCATCAAACGTCAGGATCCTTCTAGGCTTGTATGGAATATTTTGAATTCTTCATTAGTACTATACCAGTTTGTATATAGATCAACGCGTGGGAGACATCTGTCGGTGGCGCGACGAACTAGCGCGCGACAGAAAATGGCCGCTGCACGCACATTGCACAGATCCAAAAGAAAAAAGCAAAATCGATCGCGAGTCATGCCTAAGGAAGCCACTTTGCTGTATCGGAGTCCCGATTTCCTTTCGCGCAGCTATGCTTTTCGTTCGGCTGTGCAGTCTGTGTGCACTGATTATGTGCGTTATGCATTGTCCATAGAGTATAGTTGTAGGAGACCGATTCTCTTGAAATGATAAGATGTAGCGAGTGCTTCTAGTGCGCTACATTACCCGTGGAATGTAATGAAGAAAATGAGAATGCGATCGGGAATATAGCTAATGACTAACCGTTTTAGTACCGGCCTTAGTCGTTAGCACTTGTAAATCGACTATATATCGTTGTCCGGCACTAAAAGGGTTAAATTCTCTGCGAATCTGTAAGCATTTATGAGAATCAAATCTTTCAAACGAGATCTAATTGGTTCTCAACAATTTCGACAAGTTGTGGGGAATTATGTCGCGTAGAAAATGTCTATGATATCTCTAAAGATTTTAGTTTTAATGTTCCAGTAACTGAATCTTTGGACGTTCTTTAATTGGACAAATCGCTATTAATCGGCTAACTTAATGTTCTCCGAGATTGACGGCAACAAAAACTGCGGAAATGAAAAATCAACGCAAGTAAGAAAGGAACCACGAATTTAAAGGACACTGTTTTTCTGATTAAGAAGTAACTTAATTTCATGAATGTAGATCAAAAGGTGTGTCCCTTTAATAGTTCGATTCTATCTTACTTATGTTTCAATTTTGGTTTGAAACCACTTGCGCAAAACGCTTAGAAGTCATCCCAAAAGCGTGCGAAGTTAGCGACGAATGCGACCGCGGCGCCATCTCGCGGCGGCAGTATTAAGAAATCGAAGCGAGAACTCGGTCTCCTTAGATCTATACTCTCTGAAAAACCGTCGGACTGCCCCGTCTGCTGGAAAAACGAACAGAAACGTATGAAAAACCCGTACGTACTCGTTTTGAACATTTCTGTATGTTTCTATGCATCTACAAGAAGTAATAGACGACCATCGTGAGAATGCGATTACAAACGTACACGTACGTTTACATTAGCGTGGACTACGTACACATAACCTGCATTTCGGTTCGTTTCTTCAACATGGGCATTTTCATGAAAAATCTCTTCCGTTCGAAGACTTCCCATAGTTTTCCAGCCGACTGTACAAAAGCCTGCGTAGTTTACCGCCTTAACAAGGTCTGCGCATAGACCCTAGACTTACATAGAAGGATTATTATTACAAATTAGGCTGTAAGGATTTATATATATATACATATATTATATATATATTATATATATAAAAAGAACTAAAGAGCGAGAGAGGAAAGCGTTATTATTGAGGGGGCGATGCACCGATCGCCGCGCCATCATTCGTCGAACCATTGTAATATACGGTCACGTTCACGCTCACTCACGTGACGCAGAGAAAATGAGAGAGAGTGAGAGAGAGAATGCGTGTTTGCGTGAGTGCGAGAGAGAAATACGTAAGAATCGCGTAGAGAGAATCAGCTAGGTAGTGTTAGACAAGGCGTGGAAAGTAAAGAGATGGAGCGAGGGGAGGGGAATACCGCGGACAAAGGATCATTAGCATTTAGATCGTAACAATGTTTTATCAGGTGCGGAAAATTGTGCCTTTTTAGTGCTGTAAGGGACTCGATTAAGCCTAAGCGAGGGTTAAGAGATACTTATTAGTTGTGACAGAGTCAGACGGCCTGAGGACCTCGAGGTGGGCGTCACTAGCGCCGTGTCGCGGTGAGAATACGAACTACCCTTTAGGCATCGTTTTTAGTGCATCAAGTTCACAGCGATTCTATGGGAATTTAGGACAATTAACAGTTTTTTAATCAGGCTCAAATTATTCATGATAATTTTAATCATTTCGATGAGACACGAGAGGTTTTGCTCCGTCGATAATCTTCGCGATGTCTGAACATTTTAGAGCTTTCAGAGTTTTCAGAGAAGGTTTTAGAGTCCGTGCTGGAGTTTCTGAAATTTTAAGGGTTGGACAAGCTACTTAACTTCCTAACCTATTTTCTGTGCGTCTTGAGATTGATAAGGATTCAATGACGCTAATTTACCGATGACAGACATGCCTAATTCTGGGACAAGTATTTGGTAGTATTTCTTCCGTTTTATGAAAAAAGATATTTTACAGGTATCTTAGTCTTTCAGTTGTAAATCTTTCTCTTCATGGAAGAACGATAACAGCAACGGCTTACAGTTTTATTTGCCTTCTTTTTTTCCATCATTCGTGTAACGATGGACTATTTATTTTTTTTTATTTTGACCATTGATTTCTTGTAATGTTTTATGGCACTATAACGTTGATACAACGTTGGAATAATTACGGTCTAATTTGTGTGCATTTTGTTGGGCGCTCGTCGGCGCGCCATCTCGAGGTGTTTCACAATCGACGGTATTTTGTTAAAGCTCCATTAGTCGCTGGCGCTCGCTTCCTAAATCCGAAAAAAGGGTTAACATCGAGGGGAGAAAAGTAAGGAGAGGAAAATAAGGAATAAGGAATAAAGGAATTAGGGAAAGGGGAGGAACGAGAATGGGTGTACGTACGGCAGCGCCATCTCGGGCGCCCTCGGTGAAGGAGGCGAGGAGCATCTTGGCCAATAATTTCTTTTAATTGTACGTAATTAATTATTATCGACTAATATCACGAATGATAAAGTGTTCCTGTACCTAATTAATTAATAATTATTATTGTATATCAAAAGTATTGAGGATAATAATAATAATGCGATTTTCACTGGATCAACCGAAATGTGGTGTCTTATTTATGGCGAATTGTTGCATGCCGACGAAGTCCTGAGTTTTATTTCTTGAATGTTCATTAAACGGATGTTCCAGCTTGTTTTATGGACCAACCGATTATGAGTATTAGTGGGCGAAGAGTTATGGTGAACAAAATACGAAATTAATCTGCGTAGGGATAACAATTGGCGATTATTAAGATGATATGAAAGGCGCTGAGAAATTTAATCGAGGTCCATAAAATAAAATTCATCTATACCCTTTTTGGTGGGAATGTCGTTTTGAATACTCAAGTAGTATCATAAGACATTTATATTTATATTGAAATCTTTTACAGTCCACGTTGAGAATTATACGAACTGAAGCGTTCCATATGTCACTTCGGTATAGTAATGATGAAGACATCGATGTAAAACTGTCGAAATCCCGTGAATTCATTATTCTAACGACTGTTTAGGACCAACGTCGCCATCTGTGACGTTTAACTGCAACTAAATTTTTTCTCTAGAAACACGTGTTAGCCACGGGACAAGTCAGCATTCTTTTACAATCGTTGGTGAAAGTATTTCCCATATTTTCCCATCTGACTCTGCAATATTCCGTTTCTACGGTATTCTAAATTCTTCGAGCTAGGTCCTGAAACTCTTCATTTTCGATTCTAAGCCTTCAAGAAGTGTAAAACATCGAAAACGTGAATGGACCACGCCATGTTTGTTCTAGTCCATGATAAATACACTTTTGATGAAAAATGAAATTTCTTGAGTTTCAGGACCTACTTTAGCGCCTCCATATTCCCGTGGTAAAATTTGAAACTAATCGGCACACCGAATTCGAAGAATATGGAAATTTTCCATCACTTCGTCTATCTGGTATTATATAAAGTCATTGACAAGTTTTGCCTAAGCGGAAGCATTCGGGGACTCCCAGACGACTTTCCCCCTAAACAAGTTTTCCTGTGACATAAATTTTGTCTCCTGATATTTTGCTCAATACCATCGGCTGAACTCGCATGTGACATTTCTCTCGATTAGAACTTTGTCATTTACCCTTTTCACCTGGTTGTGGATATACGACTCGGGAAAATACGCCATCTTACCAGTACCGAGATATTCAATATTGGCAACGTTGAGAAAGTGCCGATTAGTTTATTCCTTGAATAATGGCGTTTAGAGTAATAAAATTAGCACTTTTAAACGATACTCAGTCAGTGTTCCCATAAATCCGTTTTTTTTAACAAAAAGCCCAGCGCAGTAATTTTAAGGTGAAGTGAAACGTCGAGGAACTTGATGGACGTCGATAATATTTCGTCGATAGTTTTATACCGACAACTGTGTCGAATTATATTGGGTACTGTACCAAATGGCATATTCCACGTTTCGTTTTCGTACAATAATTATATAGATATCGAAGTAAAACTCCAGAAATCCTCTGGATTCATGCTTTCCGGGGCCCTAATTGTCTGCAGAGGGACCCCCTGCGCCATCTGTGATTTCCAGGTCAATTAAATTTTCACTCCGAGACCTCGTATTCCCATCGTTTTAGCATAGAAGCGCATACAACACATTGTTTGCCAGTATCCCGCTCAAATGCGAGTTTATCGATTACCAGAGTGTTCTAAATTGTCGTAAAATTGTCCTGACCCTTTCGATTCTCATATCAGAACCTTCGATAATTGTATATTGATCGAGTTGTGTATTTATCTCGTTCAAACGCGAGTTTATCGATTACCAGAGTGTTTTAAATTGTCGTAAAATTCTCCTGACCCTTTCGATTCTCATATCAGAACCTTCGATAATTGTATATTGATCGAGTTGTGTATTTATCTCGTTCAAATGCGAGTTTATCAATTACCAGAGTGTTCTAAATTGTCGTAAAATTGTCCTAACCTTTTCTATTCTCATATCAGAACCTTCGATAATTGTATATTGATCGAGTTGTGTATTTATCTCGTTCAAATGCGAGTTTATCAATTACCAGAGTGTTCTAAATTGTCGTAAAATTGTCCTGACCCTTTCGATTCTCATATCGGAACCTTCGATAATTGTATATTGATCGAAATATGAGAGCTCGACGCCATTTTGGATCTAGTCTGGGCTAAGTTAACAAATTTTTTCAAAAAATCCAAATTTTGAATGTGTCAGGACAATTCTTAGATGATCAGGAGTGACGTGTCAAAGTTTCGGACAGTTTGGTCCAATACCCTTAAAAGAAAGTGTTGTATTCGAATCGACTGATTTGAAGGGTGTTTCACTTCACCTTAATACTTCGTGTGTTTAGTACTAGCATATATTGTTTAATACTGTAGGTACGTACATGTTGATTATTTACTGCTTTGCGTATGTTACATAAATGCAAATGATTTACTTAGCTCGTGGCCTTGAGATCGCACTTTCACTGATGGCGTTAAAAAGTGTTTAAACGACCTCCAAAAGTTTCCTTGTACTTGAAAAGAGATTATTAACCCACTTAGACAGTAGGAAAACATTCTAACCCATCATCATCTCTATCCTGCATTATCATTTAAAGCATATAAAATTAATAACAGTTTTATTTATTATGTAGGTACATTTATTGCTGGTTTGTTTGCAGTTTTGTGCGGATTTCCTGAAATGACGCCAAGGAGTGCTGGAATGACCTCTAAAAGAAGTAATTACCAGACATTTAATGATCAAAATTTCTTGCTAGAGAAATGTTCGTAGGGTTGAGTAATAACGCGTCATAATTCTTTGTACATAATTTTACGAAATTCTTTTTACGTAAAATACTTAAGGGAAGTATTTTACGCAACATTCAAGTATAAAATACCTAAGAAATTACCCGACAAAGATGGCGGTACTGTAACCTCACCTTTTTTAAAGTGGCTAACGTATAAATCACTTGTGAAGAAACATTTTAGTCAAAAAAGGAAAAGGAATAAAGAATGATAAAATTTAGTTCACACTAAAATCACAGATGGCGCAGGGTGGCCCTCCGCAGTCAATTAGGCCATGAAGAACCATGAACCCAGGAAATTTCTGGAGTTTTACTTCGATTTCTTTATACTTATTGTAGGAAAAGGCATGTGGAGTATGCCATTCAGTACAATGCTTAATTTAATACGACATAATTGAGAATATGAATACGGAAATCTATAAAGTAGGTGTTTAGAAAAATCTTTATTATCCATATCGATGAAATTTCTCGGCTTGTTTCACTTCACCTTAAGGTGAACTTTATTTAGATACTATGTAATTTTCCTCAAGTGATTCTTAAGAGATTTGAAACTGTTTAACATATCTTTTATAAACATTAATGGCTTCTAGTTATTTTTCAAAGTCATTGCAATGAATTTGCCAAAACGTTGGCACGTGTATATCTAGATCAATTAAGGATATTATCACGCGATTAATATCTAAGATTGCATATCAATCCGAACTTGTCAAATTTGTTATGTAAAAGATTGTGACGCCACTTTGATTTTTCTGCGGATAACAAAATAAGAACAAGAAAAATTATCTCCCCTATCTGAGTTCGAATTTAATCCAATGTTGCTTTCTCTGTCAACAAATAATCTCTGTTTGATGTAGTCACGTGTGCCAATTTTTTCATTCTTTCTTACATTAGTAATAAATAAATATTAGGGGTACCAATAAGTAATCAATTATTTTGAAAGAGGTGTTTTGGCAAAAAAATTGATTANTATAAATAGTGACCGACTACTCGATTCCTTGAGGAAAGACAATTTATCCAAATGTTACAACACTTTTATTATTTATTACATACCAACAACTAATATTTATTTTAAAAATGTAAGCTAAATGTAAAAATGCGGATCACTCAGATTGTGCATCTGCCACAATCAACCAAAATGGCGTCCAGCTCTCATACTTCGATCCATATGCAATTATTGAAGGCTCTGATATGAGAAACGAAAGGGTCAGGACAATTTTACAACAATTTAGAACACTCTGGTAATCGATAAACTCGCATTTGAACGGGATAAAGGCAAAAAAAGTGTTTTATGCGCTGCTATGCTAAAACGATGGGAATACGACGTCTCGAAGTGAAAATTTAATTGACCTGGAAATCACAGATGGCGCAGGGGATCCCTCTGCAGTCAATTAGGGCCTCAGAAACCACGAATCCAGAGGATTCGACTGATTTGAAGGGCGTTTCACTTCACCTTAATACATAGAATGACTCTTTCATATCACCTTGAAAGAATTTCTCAGCTCTCGGAAATTTTGAGGCAAAACCCTCAAGTTCTGTACGTAATCGAATACCTGGTTGACTAACCTCGGTACTTCCCCGTACTTCGAGGAAGACCCTCGAGGAAGTGGTCACGAGGAAATTCCCGGCCAGTTGAATTTCCTTCTCCCAAGGAAGGTACCCCAGGTAGATCTCTCCGATTTGATTTCTTTTATAATATGTTGTAGTAGACTAAAAACTAAGCGACACGTATTTTTTTTAATCTGCCGTTAAACACTTTAAGGGGGCAAAACCACCATCCAAAGTAAGACATGTCAAGGAGCGATTTGGTAATTTCATAAACAAGAACATAATATCTTTTAACCAATCCACCTGGAAAAGCTTTCTCATAACGAGAAATGATGAATATAATATTTGTAGATCTATAGTGGATATATAATTTTCATCTCCTATAGACATAGACATTTATATATATATCCTTTACATATCTTTTTAGGTGGATGATAGACAATATACATGTGCTATACCTATAGACCTAATTTAGACGATTAATTTACGTATATTCCTCTTCATAGGTTGCCTGGGTAGGGAACATTTCCAAATTCCCCTCTCCGCGTTCCATCTCCTCGGAGGACGATCGATGTTACTTCGCGAAGAGTATTCAGCGAAGCAATGTGTTTAAAAAAATGTTAATTATCCTCAAAAACATTGTCCGGAGAGCCCTTCTCCAGTTTCAGACCGTACTTCCTACCAATCGAATTGTCTTCATTCTCCGAACCGTTAAGGTGAAGTGAAACCCCCTTCAAATCAGT